GCTTCCACACCTATCCACCCCACTCATTTCACACTCTTTTCTTCTCCTCTCCATCCACCTCCCACTCATTTCACACTCTTTTCTTCTCCTCTCCATCCACTCCCACTCATTCCACACTCTTTTCTTCTCCTCTCCATCCACCTCCCTGCTTCCACACCTCCACCTCCCTGCTTCCACACCTATCCACCTCCCACTCATTTCACACTCTTTTCTTCTCCTCTCCATCCACCTCCACTCATTCCACACTCTTTTCTTCTCCTCTCCATCCTGCTTCCACTAGCTTCCACCCTATCCACCTCCCTGCTTCCACACCTATCCACCTCCCTGCTTCCACACCTATCCACCTCCCTGCTTCCACACCTATCCACCTCCCACTCATTTCACACTTTTTTCTTCTCCTCTCCATCCACCTCCTACTCATTTAACATTTTCTTCTTCTCCTCTCCATCCACCTCCCACTCATTTCACACTCTTTTCTTCTCCTCTCCATCCACCTCCCTGCTTCCACACCTATCCACCTCCCACTCATTCCACACTCTTTTCTTCTCCTCTCCATCACCTCCCACTCATTTCACACTCTTTTCTTCTCTCTCCATCCACCTCCCACTCATTTCACTCTTTTCTTCTCTCCATCCACCTCCCTGCTTCCACACCTATCCACCTCCCACTCATTCCACACTCTTTTCTTCTCCTCTCCATCCACCTCCCACTCATTTCACTCTTTTCTTCTCTCCATCCACCTCCCTGCTTCCACACCTATCCACCTCCCACTCATTCCACACTCTTTTCTTTCCTCTCCATCCACCTCTCACTCATTCCACACTCTTTTCTTCTCCTCTCCATCCACCTCCCACTCATTTCACACTCTTTTCTTCTCCTCTCCATCCACCTCCCACTCATTCCACACTCTTTCTTCTTCCTCTCCATCCACCTCCCTGCTTCCACACCTATCACCTCCCACTCATTTCACACGCTTTTCTTCTCCTCTCCATCCACCTCCCACTCATTTCACACTTTTTCTTCTCCCTCTCCATCCACCTCCCTGCTTCCACACCTATCCACCTCCCACTCATTTCACACTCTTTTCTTCTCCTCTCCATCCACCTCCTACTCATTTCACATTGTCTTCTTCTCCTCTCCATCCACCTCCCTGCTTCTACACCTATCCACCTCCCACTCATTCCAACTCTTTCTTCTCCTCTCCATCCACCTCCTACTCATTTCACATTTCTTCTTCTCTCTCTCCATCCACCTCCCTGCTTCTACACCTATCACCTCCCACTCATTTCACACTCTTTCTACTCTCTCTCCATCCACCTCCCACTCATTTCACACTCTTTTCTTCTCCTCTTCCATCCTCATTTCACACTCTTTCTTCTCCTCTCCATCCACCTCCCACTCATTTCACACTCTTTTCTTCTCCTCTCCATCCACCTCCCACTCATTCCACACTCTTTTCTTCTCCTCTCCATCCACTTCCCTGCTTCCACACCTATCCACACTCATTCCACACTCTTTTCTTCTCCTCTCATCCACCTCCACTCATTTCACACTCTTTCTTCTCCTCTCCATCCACCTCCCTGTTTCTACACCTATCACCTCCCACTCACTCTTTTCTTCTCCTCTCCATCCACCTCCCTGTTTCCACACCTATCCACCTCCCTGCTTCTCCACCTATCCACCTCCCACTCATTTCACACTCTTTTCTTCTCCTCTCCATCCACCTCCCACTCATTTCACACTTTTTTCTTCTCCTCTCCATCCACCTCCTTGCTTCTACACCTATCCACCTCCCTGCTTCTACACCTATCCACCTCCCACTCATTTCACACTCTTTTCTTCTCCTCTCCATCCACCTCCCACTCATTCCACACTCTTTTCTTTCTTCTCCTCTCCAGGTCCCCCAAACGTATGGCTTCCCTCATACATGAGTCCCGGTGAGCAGTGTGCGGTCTGTGGAGACTCTGCGACAGGATTCCACTACCGCGCCATGACGTGTGAAGGCTGCAAGGTAAAGAGGGACTTAAGATGTTAATACATATTTACGTATGTGGGTACTCCAAATACACACATACATATACACAGACACATATAGACATATGTATACACATATAAACATATACATACACATGTAAACATATACATACACATGTAAACATATACATACACATGTAAACATATACATACATAAACATATACATACACATGTAAACATATACATACACATGTAAACATATACATACACATGTAAACATATACATACATATGTAAAAACATATACATCACATACATAACATATCATACATCACATAGACATAAACATACACATCTAAACATATACATACACATCTAAACATATACATACACACATGTAATAAACATACATACACACATATAAACATGCACAGGAATTAACTAAGATCAATTTAAAAAATCCACCATTTTTAAAAAAAGGAATTAACTAAGATTAATTAACAAAATCCAGCTAAGATTAATTAAC